AGAGTCGGTTTGGCGGTTGAAGCTCACCAGCTGCTCCTTAGAAACGTTATACATGGTCACTATGAGTCGGGACAGACTCAACAGCATTTAATAACAACAATAAGAACAACGTATGTAATCACTCAATTAAAAAAAATTATTACTGTTGTTGCAAAATTATAAAAGGGGAGGGAGTTTCAGAAAATACATGGATGAATGCAGTGAAAAGATACTGGTATTTTTCCATGAACTTTTGAAGCCCCTTCATGTATGTTGCAGCATTTTCCTTAGGTGTCTTTTATCCTTGTGTACCTCTCAGTGTCTACATTTACCTTGGTCACATTGTGCTGAGTTTCCCCATATTGTGTATTCCTTTGCCTTCACCAGGATTAACTGTGTACATTATCTTGGACTCCTGGTGTGGTGCTATGCAGGTTTATTGTTTTTTAAATTCCACAGTTTAGGTCAAATTGGCATTTCTGAATGTTCTGTGTATTTCTGTTGCAGTTGGGGTTTCTGAGATAGGAGTACACAGCGCAGAAAGCATTTGGTTTTGACAGTCACTGTACAGACTGTTGTTGGCCTCTTCAATCTGAGAAGGAGGCTTTCTGGTGTTATGTAGTATGCTGGTTGGAATATTGATTTAAATGAGGTTGTCTTAGTCAAGGAATGATCACTCAAACTAAATTTTCCAAAGACGATCTCTAGGAAGATGGGCATGAGCAGACAGGGACCACCAGGAATGAGCCCCAAAAGCAAGGTCCAAACAGCAACTCCTTTGAGGTTTGGTCCAAACACCAAACCCTATACCTTCAGTACTGACTCAGCTACCCTAGAGGACAGAGCAGACTGAACTGCTGTTTTTCCTGCTGAGTGGCTGAACTGCTGACCTTTCAATTAACAGCAGAGTGAAATGTCCAAGAGTTTCTGCAAAGAAAGGAGGGAAAACAAATGTCTAACAAGTTGTAAAAATATGCTGCTTCCTGCAAGGCTTGAGAAAATCCAGGCAGCAGGGGGTGCAAGCTGGACAGGGATTGGAAAGGGAGTCAGCTTAAATGTTGCAGTCATTCCTCTCTGCAGGGAACCCCACCCATCTAAGGAAATCTGAACGTTAAATCCATCATTTCCCCAGAACACTGGATAGTTAGCATAGACTTCAAGCCATTTCAGAAGCCCCTTGAGGCCCATCCATATTCTGCCAGGAGGCTGTGGACTCATGGTCTTTGAGAGGAAGGCCCCAGTGGTCTGCTGCCCAGAATCCTGGCTGCTGTCTTCTGTCTGTTTTCTCATAGCTGATAGAACCAGACTTTTGACCGTATCTCTACTACTGTATGCTTTCTATAAGTCAGCCGCACTTCATACATCTGTGTCGTTTGACTTTTGTTTTCATTTTGACTAGACACCTAGGAGCAGAATTACTATGTGAACATCTTTGTTTTGCCAATTTGCATCTGTATAGCTGTAAGACAAAGCCCTAGAATTAGAAATAATAGGATTAAGAGATGAATGTATTTAAAAAATTACCCTTAAGAAAGTGTCACCCTTTTATGTTTGTATAAACAGGGAGTTGTTGTGTGCTGTGGAATCCATCAACTCATAGCAATTCTGTGTGACCCAGTAGAACTGCCTATAAGGTGTCCTAGGTTGTTAGCTTTATACACATTGCCTGGTGTTTCTCTCTTGAGCAGCTCATGGTCCTGACCATCAGCCCTCTGGTTAGCAGTCAGGTACTTAACTGTTAAGCCACCAGGGCTCCTTGAAACAGGGCTTGAAAAAAAAAAAAGCACCTTTTTCTCTCCCACCAGCACTCAGTGTGCTTTCTAACATTTCAGTATTTACAAGTCTGAGAAATTATTTCAAAAGTCCTTTTGCTGTAGTGTAATACTGAATTTCTTGAATCAACTGTGAAATGAAACTTTTACTTTTAACATGTCATTTGCCTTATATTTTAAATTGCCTGATTATTTCTGTTGTCTGTTTTCTAGTGGGCAATTTGTCTCTCACACTGATTTTAAAAAAATTGTTGTGAAGTGCTGTTGAGTCAGTACCAACTTATAGTGACCCTGTATAGGATTTCCGAGGAGTGGCTGGTGGGTTTGACCCACCATCCTTGTGATTCAAATTGACCTTGCAGTTCATTGCTACACCCTTGGTTATATGCTGGTAACCAAAAGGTTGGTGGTTCGAAAACACCAGCCACTCCTTGGAGGAAAGATGTGGCAGACTAAGAATCCTGTGGGACAATTGTATTCTGTCCTACAGAGTCACCATAAGCCAGAACCAACCGCAGTGAGTTTTGGTTTTAAATGTGTTACCAGTATTTTTTCTTGGTGGACATTTTCTCTTAAACCTTGTTTATGGTGCTGTTTTAAGGACTTGAATTCTTGGACAATATCAAATGGCGTCCATCCTTTCTTCTAAAGCTTCTGGGTTCTAGAAAGGCTTTTCCGTATCCAAGGGGGTATGTAGAACATTCTCTGATTTCTTCTAGTACTTTGGTGTGCCTTGTATTTTTACATTAAATGAATACTTGATCCACCTGGGGTTTATTTTGATGTAAAGGAGCTCCCACTTTCATCCTTATGCTGAAAAGGGTGTTTTTTCTGTGTCCTTACATATTTACAGGGGTATGCTGAAATATTTGGGAGCCCAGTGACTCCATAGGAGAAGCACTGGGCTGTGAACTGCAAGGTCAGCAGTTCAAGCCCACCAGCTGCTTTATGAGAGAAAGACGAGGCTTTCTGTTCCCCCAAGATTTAAAACCTCAGAAATCCTATGCATGGTCACTGTGAATCAGAACTGACTCCACAACATGTAACAACAACTGAAACGTTTGGGGGTGAAATGTTAGTGGGTGATCTTGGTTGTCGTCAGGTCTTGTTGAGTTGGTACCAATGCATAGCAACGTCCTGTGCAACAGGAAGAAACTAATACTTTTTCTTTCATTGGCGTCTTTGTCATACCTGTCTCCTTTGCCAGTTCCTCTTCCTTCACCGACTGTTAGCTGTAGCAGGGCCTTGGGCAGCTGCCTCAGTCCCCCCACCACATGCAACCCCGGTGCCTGCCAGAGCAGTGGCTTGTGTCTGGCACTCTTTTGTTTTCATGTGTTAAGTAAGTGTCTGTGGTACATGCTTATTAGGGCAAAGCAGTAAGAATCTGCTCTTTGAAGAAAGCACTCGGAAATACAAACAGATTTCTACCTCAGATACTATGGGTTTAGTTCCAGATCACCGCAATAAAGCGAGTCTCTCACACCTTGAGGTGCACACATTTTCTGGTTTCCAAGTGTTTATAAAAGTGATTTGACACTGGACTGTTATCTATGAAGTGTGCACTAGTAGCATGGTTAGAAAGTGTGAAATATGGTGAGAATGACCAAAATGTAACACACACAGGAAGTTGGCACATGCTGCAGGGAAAGTGACGCTGGCAGCTTGGCTTGACACCCGGGTGCCACAAACCAAAAACTAAATGCAATAAAAAAAAGCAAGGTATGTTTCTAAGTATGGCTCACTGTTGGATTTAAATAAAAGTTTGTTTCTGTAATGAAAAACCCATTCCTCACATACCACGTTTTCCTAGAATGAAAAGTCCAACTCTTGTTTGGCCTTTGAGGACATTGGTACCTGCTCTGACACCACATAAACAGCACAGCCCCACTTGGAATCAGAGTTTTGCACTTGAGTCTCTGCTCAATCTGGTTGGTTGTGCTGGGCCAGGCACTGTAAAGGGCACTGAGGGTGAAAAGCAGAAGGTCCCCTGACCTTGAGAGATTGAGAGGCCAATCCTGAGGATTGGGCAAGACCATTCTGCGAAGCCACCAGACAAGTAGCTTCAAACCTTAACCTGGGATCCCTTTGCTCTTGACAGCCCCTCAGTGTGGATCCAGTCACAGAGTTCGGTCTTTGTGAACAAGGGTCAGTGAGCTGCTACTGGAGAGAGAGTGCTTATGATTGGTGTCAGCTGACTGGGTAAAAATGGCTACAGATGAAGTGTCACCTGGAGTTGAGAGCCTGCCCTGGATCTCACCACCGTGTCCTCCCTCACATCCTCCTTACCCCTGACACACCTGTGACCTTACTGTAGAGAGGACTCTATCTGAACACCCAGATGTTCCACAGCGGGCACCTTCTTAGTTCTATAATGTCGATTGTGATGAAATGGTTCACACCAGTCACCCTCCTAGAAGTAGTTTGTCTTGATCAAGGAACCCCTTAGACATACCCTTGTTTCACTTTATCTAATAGTGATGGTTGTTGGGTGTCAATCAAGCCCACTTTGATTCATGGAAACTGCATGTGACAAGAATACCACTGTCCCCTAGAGCATCCTAGACAGTAATCTATGAGAGCAGATTGCCAGGTCTTTTCTCCCAGGGAGCAATGATTAAGTGCTTGACTGCTAACTGAAAGATTGGTGGTTGGAACCCAGCCAGTGGCTCCATGGTAGGAAACCGGAGGCGGGGAGCAGTCTTACTCTGTCATGTGGGACTACTACTATGAGTCAGAATGGGCTTGACAACACTTAGCAACAACAGCTTAAAAACACACTTAAGTTTAGAAACCAGACTACTAGACAGTGTGAAACATGATATGCCTAATGGTCCATTGATCAAGGACAATGCTCGACACGGACCATTTCAGCATAGGATGATGGCCTGTGTGGGCACTGAATAGGCGTGGCAGAGCAGACCGAGGCCAGCACCTGTGGCACTGTGGAGCAACTGTAGCTCCATGTTCTGTAGGGAAAGGTGGATTCAGTGAAGGAGTCATTGGGACCTCTCATCTATTGGATACTGTTTGAGGTGCCAGGGACACTGCTGTGAGGTGTAGTAAAAGTTAGGGAGAACAGGGACACGGTGACGTGAGAGCACCAGAGGGGCCCTTTCACAGTATGACCATGCTCCCCAGCAGAGACCACCCTCCCTGGTAGCAGAAGAGACCCCAAGGGGCACTGGTATGTTGTGGTGAGCAGGTGTTCGCCGTGTGTCTTATATATACCTTGACGTCTCCTCCTTTCAGATGACACGGAGGATGTGTGCATTGTGGAGCGGCTCTTCTCAAGCAGCTTGGTGGCCATTGTCAGCCTTAAAGCCCCCAGGAAGCTCAAAGTCTGCCATTTCAAGAAGGGCACAGAGATCTGCAATTACAGCTACTCCAACACCATCCTGGCGGTGAGGCTCAATAGGCAGGTGAGTGATGGCACGGTGCTGAAGCACTCACATGCAAGATTACTCCGGAACCCCTCTGTGCTATAAGGTCACACACTAGTTCTTCCTCGTTCTTCTTTTGCTTTTATAGATGTTACTTTAAAAATATATCTTTTTTTTTTGGTTTATAATTTGTCTTTTTATTTATTTATTTATTTGCCAG